AAAAGGGTTTTTATTACAAATAGTCCCTGAAATTGGCTCATCCTATCAAGATGGTTCCTGAAATTGAAAATCGATAAATGTAGTCCCTGAAAATGGGTGTCACAAATCAATGTGGTCATTCTTTCACCATTCCGTAAAAAACTCTGTTAAATTCTGATGTACAACTTAAATGGGTCTTACAAATTTTAAAAAAAATATTTTTATGTGAATTAAAAATATTTAAATATTAAAAATTATTTTTTATTCTATTTTTTTATAATAAAAACTTAAAAAAACAAAAAAGAAGATGCAACAACCATGGTGCTTAGAGTCTTCTCCTCCTCCCCCTCCTCCGCTTCTTTCAAGCCCACCAAGTCACTCACTTTCAAGTTCAACACTTCCCGTTGAGGTTGTGTTTGGCTGCGATTACAATTGCGACGGTGACAACAAGTGATGAGAAATCTTGAATGGCAGCGTTAAACTCCCCAAGCCAATCAACATTGTTGCACTACACAGTTTTCCTTCCGCCGTTTGATGATTCGGGTCGGGTTGATTCTAAGCAGGTCATGGGCTGCACTAATAAGAACCTAAATGTAATCAGTGATTAGCTTAATCACTATTATTAGTTTAAGGTGTAAGTCAGGTTACTAGTTATTAGGCTGAGTTGGTTGAATTGTTAGAAACACCATTTGGCAGTATATGGATGTTAGGATTGTATAAAGGCACTAATGTGGTGAGTGGATGGCCAACGGTTATTTGAATATAAAAATATTATTACCAAAAAATATGACTCTCTCCACTTCCTTTTTCCTTCCTTCTACCGCCATTTCTGATCTAGCTTACAGGTTAAGGTTGAATTAAGGTTTGGACCATTGAGGTTCTATCATTGGTATCTGTTGGAAATGTGCCCTAAAGCCAATCATGTGATGATACTTTACGGACATTTCACATGTTAAACTAATCCAGTTTAACATATAAAGGGCATAAATTATTGTTTGAGCCGTCTCATATAAATGTTATATGCTTAAACGATAAAGTCCAAGGAATATGTGATTGGGAGAGAATGTAATCTAATGAAGTTAGATTCTTGAGAGACCATTCTTTCGTAGACACATCCTAAATCCTAAACGTTCCTGATCATAGGATTGCCAATTGGGCATTGACAGTCCGTTAAGATCGGTACGTACTATGTCTTCTCTCAGGGAGAGTGATTAGTCTCGAATCATTGGTGTGTGTGACATCAAGACAAGTACGGTAGGTGCTCAATAGAGAATGAGTTCACTGAACGCGATCAACGAAGAGTTCTCATATTCCATGTCACATGAGAACTCATGGTTGGGATAATGCAAATTAGTCCTTTGACCTGAGGCATCATAGTTGTCTTGTGGTTAAGACCTTGATCTTTGATTATGTCAAAGTCACTCCATCCACGGCATCGTTGGGGTCAAGCCGCTTTAGCTATGGAGACAAGTGAATGCGCAACAAGGGATCTCTAACCTTCAAGCCGCTTGAAGGAGAATACTCTCTGATATGATTTGAATCTCTGATCAGAGTATGAATGAGATTTGGGAATGTGTTCCTAATCACATTCAAGGTAATCATATAAGCACAAGACACACATTGGATAGTAGACATGAGAAAATAAACTATCAAACCAAACAATGTGGTCAAGAGTATTAGATTAGAGAAGGACCGTATTGCATTTGTAATCTCGAACTGAATAGGTTCTCTAACCTCTTCTGATTAGCTTGGGTAACCATGATATACTGCTAGGTGTCACTCATGGTTTGTGGAAGCCCTAAACGTGTATAATCACTAAAGGGAGAATTGAAAATAGTTTCAATTCACAATCGATGTAAAATGGTTTTAATCGCCCACTACCTCGCTAAAAGGAACCTAATGGATCGCACACCGTGAAAGGTGGAGATTGGAGATTAAACGGAAATGAGTAAGAATGATTAAATGGTTTAATCATTTAATTATGGCAAGGATTAATTAATATGTTAATTAATCAAACGAAAAAGTTCGTTAAAGACTTCGGGATAGTTTTGGACCTTAAGGCCCAATGGGCTTCGAACGTCAAACCCATTAACTTAAGTTGTATGACAATTTAATGAATAAAGATTCATTAAAGCCCAAAAGCCCAAACATCCCTAAATGGCCAGCCATGATGAAATGAATTAGGGTTTTGGTTGTTTAGGTCACTTAAAGAAGTGACTATATAAATGACTTTATAACTAAAATTCATTAAGGAAAGATTAAGGGTTTATTTTGGGGGAAAATTGGTGAGAATTGTCTCTCCATTTTCTCTCTAAATAGGCCAACACCTTGGAGGGTACATCTAGCAATCCTACTACTCCAAGGTCACTCATTTCTTCTACAATCGAACCTTGGTGTCGAGAATTAGAGGTTCTCAATTTTGGGAACTTGGAGAACCTATTCTTCCATCCAAATCCATGGATCTAAGAAGCAAGGAATGAAGGCCCCTATCTCTTTGGGTGATTAGCCTTTGCTTATGCAAAGAGGAATCTACAAAGGTATTAATTTCAACTCACTTTGTTTTTGAGTTGATTATTGGTTCACCAATCTACTAGGCTTTGAATTTCATGGGTAAATGTTTTGTATTTGAGTGCATGTAAGCATGATTCCGCCTTTAATTGTTAATTGCATGCTATATGATGTTGCTCAAATGAACATGTTTTTCAAAATAATTCCTTCAGTATCGCCCACTCCAATCCTTGGTTTCCCTTCTTGTATGCCCCATCACACCACCACTACACGCTTTACCGTCATGGATGAACGACTTGCTGCGCTCGAAGCAACAATGGAAACTGTCCCACACTTGATTCAGTCTTCAATCGATGCTGTATCTGCCTTGTTTGCCGCTACTCTCGATTCCAAGCTCATGATCTGTTTTGAATAATTTTGTCGTGAATTGTCCTTTCAGCCCAGCCATGCCTCTTCTTCCACCGTCGATCTGTGGTTGCCGCCACCCGAGCTCATGAATCCACACACTAGGGATCCTTTACGCACTCCGCCTCATTATTTTCCTCATTTCCACGGTGTTGTTCACGAACTCGGTGACCAAGGCTCGGTTCCCCCCACGCCCTCCGAGACAACATCGCGTTGATTTCCCTCATTTGGCCTACGGAGAAGATCCTATCGCTTGGATTTACAAGACTGAGCAATATTTCTTCTATTATAACACTCTGGTGGATCAAAAGGTGGTCACAGCTTCGTTTCATCTGGAACAAGAGGCTCTGTAATGGTTTAAATGGTGAGACTGTTTACACACTACGCCAAGCTAGGAAGAGTTTACAAAGGCTTTCTGTGCAAAATTTGGCCCTTCCGAGTTCGAGGATATCACCGAAACACTTTTCAAGTTGCACCAAACAAGTACCCTCAAGGACTATATACTTGAATTTCGGAAGTTGGCAAATCAACCTTCGGATATAGGTCCTGTATTATTGAAGAGTTGCTTTTTGGGAAGATTGAAACATGAGTTGAAGTATAATGTTAAATTGCTCAAACCCCTTATTGTGCATGATGTTATACCAATTGCAGTCCAACTTAATGCTAAAATGCGCGAGTTAAAGGGTGGTACTGGTAAATGTGCCTCTACTACTAAACCTCCTCCTGCCACTATTCCTAGGCCTAGACCTACTACTCTCTATGTGAAGAAGTTGTCCACTGAAGAGATCCATAGGAAACAAGAGTGAGGGCAGTGTTGGTTCTGTGATAAGAAGTGGGTTCCGGGTCATAAATGTCGATACAAGCAACTTCTATTGATGGATGTGGTTGACAGTGAAGATGGTCTAATAGTTGAGGATTGTGACCTTCCCTCGGATCTTAACAATATGGAGCTGAGTGAGTGTGCATTTTATGGCACAACATCTAAACAGACCATTCAAACTATGAAGATGGATGGGAAGCTTACTAACCAATCCATTTGCATCCTCTTAGACTTTGGCAGTAGTCACAATTTCATAGATTCTAGATTGGTAAAGAAGCTTGGATGGCAAGTGAATGATCAGAAAACTTTTGAAGTGATGATTGCAGATAGGGGTAAGGTTAAAGGGCAACGATGTTGCAAAAATACCTCTTATCTATATGAAACTACCATTGTACCACAGATCTATTTTCCCTTCCCTTATGAGGGTGTGATGTGGTGTTGGGGGTGCAGTGGTTATCCACTGTCAATCTAGTGTTGTGGGATTTTTAATTAATGACTATGGAGTTTTCTAAGCTGGGTCAACAATTTAAATTGTATCATCATGCTAGTGAGAGGCCATTGGTGCAGGAAATGAGTCTCTAACATTTGGATAAGGAATGTTATGGGTCCAATTTGGGCATGCTGCTCTATTCAATCTGTGATGAGAAACTAAAAGCTGTTGAATTGTCTCCTATACAATTGGGTGAATTGCAGAATCTCTTGGCAAAATTTAAGGAGATATTTGTAGTCCCAACTGTGTTGCCTCCAGTACGAGAACACGATCATAAAATACCATTGGTCCATGGAGCAAAACCACCTAACATTCGACCATGTCATTATGGGCCCTTGCAGAAAAATGAAATTTAGAAAGCTGTGGCTGAATTGTCACAAGGCAGTTCTATTGGTAAGGAAAAAGGAAGGCACATGGAAGATGTGCATGGACTATAGAGAGTTGAATGCATTGACCATTAAAGACAAATATCTTATTCCATTGATTGATGATCATTTGGATGAATTGCATGGGTCCAGCTATTTTTCTAAGTTGGATTTAAGGTCGGGGTATCACCATATCAGAATGAGCTCTGACAATATTGAAAAAACAGTCTTTGGGACTCATGAAGGCCATTATGAGTTCCTAGTAATGCCTTTTGATCTCACCAATGCCCCAGCCACTTTCCAAAGTTTGATTAATGACTTATTTCGGCCCTATCTTAGAAAGTTTGTACTGGTTTTTTTATGATATTCTAGTCTATAGTAAAATTGGACAGATTACTTGCAGCAATTGAAATAGGTTTTTGAGATCTTATAGATGAATCACTTGTTCCTCAAGAAACAAAATTGTGTTTTTAGTCAGAGTTGTGTGGAGTACTTGGGACATATTGTATCTAAGGAGGGTGTTGCTGCATATCCTAGTAAGTTGAGGGCTATATCCGAATTGCCTATTCCCAAAAATGTGAAGCAACTTAGAGGGTTCTTGGGTTTAACAAGATACTACAGGAAGTTTGTTCCTGGTTATAGGAGAATTTGTCAGCCTTTATATAACCTCACTAAGAAGGATGGGTTCAAGTGGGATGTGGCAGCTGAGGAAGCTTTTAAAAACCTCAAGGGCATTATGGCATCATCTCAGGTTCTAACTTTGCCGGATTTTTCAACTCCATTTGAAATCGAATGTGATGCCTTAGAAGTGGGAATTGGAGCTGCCCTGCAGCAAATAGGGAGACCTATAGCCTTCACTAGCTAAACACTCAGACTAAGAAATCAAGCCCTTTCTACTTATGAAAGGGAACTCATTGCCATTATGTATGCAGTCAAGAAATGGCACAATTACTTACAAGGAAGACACTTCATTATTAAAACAGATCACAGTAGTTTGAAATACTTTCTGAGTCATAGAGCTAACACAGCTTTCCAACAAAAATGGGTTGCCAAGTTATTGGGTTATGATTATGAAATCCAATACAAACATGGGAGGGACAATATAATGGCAGAAGCCCTCTTAAGGGTGCAGAATCCTGAAAATGTTATGGAGACTATTGAAAATATTGGAGAGCTCACTGCCATCATATATCCTTACTTTGGGTGGTTAGATGAGTTAAGAAGAGACAATGAGAATGATGAGTGGATCAAGCAGAAACTACAAGAGGTCACAATGCTTAAGTCTCAAGAAACAAAAAGACCCTAACTCCAAAGTGTCCAAATTCCACATAGACAATGGCTTCTTGAAATACAATTTCAGGGTTGTACTTAGTCCAGTGTCTTCTTGGAGAAAAAAGGTGATTGAGGAACACCACTTAACCCCAATTGCAAGCTATCAAGGAATATTGAAGACTTATCAAAGGGTTAAAAGAGGTTTCAATTGGCAAGGAATAAAGGCAGATATCAAACAATTTGTGGTAGAGTGTCAGGTGTGGGAAATGAACAAATATGAAACAATTGCTTCCCGAGGATTGTTATAACCTCTTCCCATACCAAAGCAAATCTGGATTGATATAAGTATGAATTTTATTGTGGGGTTACCTCCATGCTAAGGCAAGACAGTGATAATGGTAGTAGTGGACAGATTGTCAAAGTATGGGCATTTTGTTGCCTTAGCTCATCCCTATTCTGCAACTATGGTGGCACAGTTGTTTGTGGATCATATATTTAAGTTTCATGGCATGCTTACAAGCATTCTGAGTGACAGAGACCTTATCATTCTCAGTAATTTCTAGAAAGAATTTTTCAAACTACAAAGATCAAAGTTGAATATGAGCTCTGGATATCATCCCTAGAGCAATGGGCAAACTAAAGTATTAAACATGTATTTTGTGGGATTACAACCAAAGAAGTGGGTGCAATGGCTAGTTTGGGCTGATTGGAGCTATAATAACTCATATCACACTGCATCTAAGTCTACCCCATTTGAGCTTGTGTATGGCTTCCTTCCTGCTCACATTGCTGCCTATGAACTCGGCGCTGCAAAATTGGACATAATGAAGAAAGGGTTAATGGAGAGGGACAAGATGTTGGCACTTTTGAAAAGCAACTTAGAGATGGCACAAAACCGCATGAAGGTCCAAGCTAATAAGCACAAAACTGAAAGGGAGTTCTCTGTGGGTGATTTTGTGTTCTTAAAGTTAGTTCCTTACCAGCTACAAGCACTAAAAATACACTTTCACCACAAACTGCAACCTAAATATTTTGGTCCCTTTGAAGTCTTGGAGAGAATTGGGAAAGTAGCTTACAAGCTCAAGTTACCAGGCAATACCAAAATTCATCCAGTGTTCCATGTTAGTGTTCTAAAGAAGCACTTGGGAGAGCAAATTGTGTCTACTGTGACCATTCCAAAAGAAGGGCTTAAACCAAACACAATGAAAGAACCAATGGTTGTGTTGCAGAGAAAGGTTTACAAAAGGGGAAATACAGCTGGAGTGCAAGTGTTGGTGCAGTGGAAGAATCAGGATATTGCGGCAACTACACAGGAGGATTATGATGAGTTTAAGTTGCAATTCCCATATTTCAGTTTCTAACCTTGAGGACAAGGTTTTTAAGGGAAGGGTAAATGATAAGAACCTAAATGTAATTAGTGATTAGCTTAATCACTATTATTAGTTTAAGGTGTAATTCGAGTTACTAGTTATTAGGCTGTGTTGGTTAAATTGTTAGAAATACCATTTGGCAGTATATGGATGTTAGGATTGTATAAAGGCACCAATGTGGGGAGTGGATGGCCAACAGTTATTTGAATAAAAAATATTATTACTAAAAAATAGGAGACTCCTTCCACTTCCTTCTTCCTTCCTTCCACCGCCATTTCTGATCTAGCTTGCAAGTTAAGGTCGAATTAAGGATTGGACCATTGAGGTCCTATCATGCACGGCCTGGGTATGGCTATAGGCCGAGATGGATGATGAGGGCAAGATGAGATTTACAGCTGATAGCGATTCCGAAATCACCAGGGAGTGGTGTGTGGGTCAAAACCGACATCTCGTCATTACTCAGTGTGGGATTGTCGGGCGCGCATAGGAAGCATCTTATTCTCTTTTTTTTTCCTTCTTTTTTTATTTTCAAGTTTTTAATAATAAAAAATTTAAAATTTTTTATTTTTATTATATAATTATTTTTAATCTACATGAAAATAATTAATTAAGTTTATGGGATCCAATTATGTTCCACATTAGCATATAACAGAATTTTTGACAAAATTGTGACGGAATGACCACATTGATTTGCGACACCTAATTTTAAGGACTACATTGATCGATTTTTAATTTCAGGGACCATCTTGATGAGGTGGCTTAATTTCAGAGATCATTTATGATAAAAACCCTTAAAAAATACATTGTATTCTAAAAATCCCAGGAACATCTCATATATCCATGAAACATGAAATGGTACCCCTATGATTCCTCTAGACTTAGATCAATTTTGACCATCTTGATGAGGTGGCTTAATTTCAGAGACCATTTATGATAAAAACCCTTACAAAAAGACATTGTATTCTAAAAATCCCAGGAACATCTCATCTATCCATGAAACATCAAATGGTACCCCCATGATTCCTCTAAACTTGTAAATTTTGTTGGTTGCGTAAAAAAAATCTTAAAATTTCTTGTACGCTCATTAAAACTTAGATTGACTGCAACATGGGTAAGGCAACTTTATTGTTGCAACACAATATTAGATTTCAAACGTACAATTTCTAAATCTCGCAACAAAAACTACGAAAGCTAACAAAAAGTAGTAATCATTTTTCAATACGCAATCTTCTAGGACGAGAGAAAAACCTCTTTTGCTTTTTATTTCATCATGAGATCAAGGAATCACCCATAAATATATATATATCCTCTCAACCACCACCACCACTATTGCAATTTCCATCAAGACCAACACCCCAAAATTGTCGCTTTCGCCGCTGCCACACACTCCCACTCGCAACCATCATTGTTTCCACGATCACCCCCACCGTCATGCCTCTTCCACCCCAACGACACTTCCATCACATCCTCCCCCCCCCCCCCACTACAAATGTCACCCAATCAAGAGCAGAGTCAAACTTCAACTTGACGTGGTTCTGTGAAGACATCAAAATTTTGGTGAAATAATGTTCACCAACAAATTAAATTTTGACTCGCTAGAGCTTATGCGGCACACATCATAGGTCTCACCAAATTGCACACATTGCATGTGACTCATTAAAGCTGTATGAGTCATCAAAAATGACACGTGTCAACATCTGGTGTAATGCAAAAGAATTACCAAATTAAGTTAATGGTAGAAACAGTTAAGGAATTATCTTTTAATTAACTTTTATTAAATCAAAATATAAATCATGTCAATTAAATTATTTGGTAAATTTACCAGGTTAAATTATTTGGTTAATAACAAATATGTTGTGGTCTATTTTATCTGACAAGTTTAGGATGGCGGCGACAAGGAGAAGAGAGAGAGATGTGTTTGTATAATTGTAAAGGAATGTGTGTGTGTTTATCCCTCCTACATTGTGCCTTTATTTATAGTAGTAAAAGGAGAAAAGATATTCCTTCTTCCCCAAGGAATACAAGATACAATAGGAAAGGATAACTAGAATAAAATCTAATCTAGGATTTACACAATCACACTTAAACTAGGAATGTTTACAACACTCCCCCTTAAGTGTGTAAATACTCAAGGTAGATTTAACATCATGCAGAAGTTGAGGAAGTCGACTCATCAGCACTAATTCTAAGGAACAACACTTATTCTCAATAAGGTAGGAACTTGCATAAGTAATAAGTCTCACTAAAAAACCCAAAGGCTATGGCAAAAAACCGAGGAGGGACAAAATCCATAGTCTAAGGAAAAATGTGTAAGAAATGCAAAGTCAAAAGAAACGACTACGGGACGTCATCAGGGATATGACCAGCCCAAGGTGGGTGCCTCGTTAAAACCTAGTTGGGTAGCAATAAACCCAATGGGAAAAATGCTCCTAATCATAAGGACAAAGAGTACATTAAGATCAAGCAAGTATCTATAGGATACCCCTCTGAGTTTGACACAATTCCAAAGACAAATAGCAAAGTTACAACTCATAAAGTTTACACATACCAATTAACAAGCTTCTGAAATGTCGTCTTCAACAGTGATTTGGTGAAGAGTCGGCCATATTCTGTTATGAACGGATTTGCGTGACTTCAATCTTCTGATACTCTTATTGTTGATATGAAAAGAAAAATTTTGGCGCAATGTGATTGTTGTTGTCTCTTTTTATGTAACCTTTCTTGAGCTATTCAATGCAAGCTGTGTTGTCTTCAAAGATCATCGTCGGGACATCAACAGCAGGATAAAGATCGCAGAAGCTTCGAATATGGCCCATAACTACTCTCATCCAAAAGCATTCCCTGAGTTGCTTTATGTAAGGCGAGAATTTTAGCATGGTTAGACGAAATGGCAACTAAGGTCTATTTAGCTGACCTCCAAGATATTGCAGTACCTCCAACGGTAAAGACATTACCCGTTTGAGAACGCGCCTTGTGCGGATCAGATAAGTATCCTGCGTCGACATAACCAATAAGGCGAGAATTAACTCGAGGAGCAGAAGGTGCATCATCACTCAAGGATCCGTAGGGATAGAACAAGCCCAAATCCGTAGTACCCTTAAGGTAACAAAAGATGTCTTTCATGCCAGTCCAGTGTCTACATGTTAGCGCATTACTATATCTTGCCAAAAGATTAACAACGAAAGGATGTCGGGTCTAGTGCATTAAGCTAAGTACAATAAAG